CATATGCATTTGATAGCGGGTTTAGCGGGTTTAGCCGCTTTTATCCGCTTTTAAGCGCTTTTATCCGCTTTTAAGCGCTTTTATCCGCTTTTAAGCGCTTATCCGCTTTTAAGCGCTATTCGAGTGCATAGCGGTTTTTCTCGCTAAACCCAGCCGCGAAACCCCTACGCGTAGCGCTGAAGGACCGCGGCCGCTATTCGTCCCGCTATAGCCCCGCTATTGGCCGCTATTTACAACACTGGATAACATATATAGCCTCTACAATCTTAAAATTAATGGAAAGTATCACACCACTTCTGTTGGCTTCTGTTTCTTCTTTACCCTTCTACTTTTAGCTTATTCATTGTGACCACTATTATCACTGTATTACTCACTCATCAAGAAGATCTGCATACATTATAAGATTTAGTACTCTTCCTTTCACCCCAATATAATATGCAATCATTTAGACAGACATTGATCTTCTCATACCCATGACCCAAATCCTTCATCATTTTTAGCTTCATATAAAGAGATTAAAATTAAGATATTTGTGGAAATGCACTTATCAAAAGTTGCAGTAACATCATAAATGACTTACAAGACCACCAAACATATTTTCTTCGATGAAATAAGTGCAAGATGAAAGTCAATTTAGAGCAATTAGCACAACCTGGGTAGAGTTCTTTCTCACAACCATACATCAACTTAAAATATTAGGCATCATCCTCACTGTAACCATCATGGATAAGGTTGATGTTTGGAGAATATATAAAATTTGTCTCCTCATGCCCGTCCAATTTACCTATTAACACATTCACATTCGTTTCATCTAGCATCCCAAGGGCATTATGATCCAATCCCCTAATATCTTGGGCATGGTTTTAAATATCGACCGATAATTCGATTTTATCGCCGAGTCATCAGATTTGGGAGCTTTTCTCTAGGATAAGTAGGATTTTTAATCGGTTATCATTTTTATGTGTTTATCGGCAAGTTATCGGCGATAAAGGTACTTATCGGCCGATAAGAGAGGCTAAAAATATGAGCTTTATCAGCGTGAGTTTTGAATTGAATTGTTGGGTAATGTGCTGTTACTTAGTGAGTTCTTAAACCCGACCCGACCTGCTTTTGACAATAAAATGAAGTTTTTAACTTTAAGTTCAGCCCTAATCCTTCGTGAATCTCTCTCCCTCTTTGTGCGGCTGTTCTCCGAGCCTCCGAACCTCCGAACCTCTTCAAGCTCAAGATCTTTGTTCCCCTCTAACTCCGTTGACCTTGTCGCTTGCCTTCCCGACCTCGAAGCTCACGTTCACTGACATCGCTCGCATCCCCGACCTTAAAGCTACCTCCGCTGACATCGCTCGCCTCCCTGACCTCAAAGCTCACCTCCACTAATGTTTATATTTCATTAAGCATGGTTAGATTACTTTTTTGGTTATTATATTATATATATAGACCATCCAGTATATCACTCCGATAAATACTACTTATCCCAGATATATCCCCGATTTTCGTTATCCGATAAGGATTTTAACCGTCCGATAAATTCCCGATAACTGATATTTAAAACCTTGATCTTGGGGGTTGTGGATCCAAGATTTCTGAAAAGTGGTCACCATATAATTAATAATTTAAAAAAAATTACAATTATTATCGATGAGTTTCCATATTTTTGAAAAAAATACATAATTACATCACTCGTAAAACTATCAAATATATATTTATCAATATATGTCACCAAGTAATCATTAGGTCAATCATCACTCATTTTTTCTATAACTTGCTTTCTATCAAAATCATTGCAGAAAAAAATCTTTTCCGCAGTTGTCATAACCACAAATAACATCAATGTCACCTTCAAAAGTAAATACACGAAAGGATAGATTTTATATTGTTTTTTCTCCAACATGCTTCTTTAAAGATCACCATCTTTTTGAAAAATCCCAAAAAGTAAATTCTATACATTGAAAAAAATCAATGACTACCAGAAGGAGCAGAAGAGCAGAATTTAGGACAGCTAAAGAGACTCGAGGATTGATCAGTCAAAGGAGTAAGGGCCAGTAGACTAGAGGAGGCTCTAGAGTTGTAGGCTCTTGGCGGGAAAAAAATTGGGCTCTCGACAAATGAGGGAGAAAAGTGAAATTTGAACAGTAGGATCCCAAGTTAGACTGAAGGATGTACTTTTAAATTAGGTGGGATTAGATAGAGGAATATGGGTGTGTTTCTTATTAGGCTTTTAGTGGGGTCATGATTTTGCTAATTGTTGGCTTTTTCAGATGATGGGTAGGTTTTAGTAGGGTATTGTCAAGTTTTTAGCGGGTCTAGACAATTAGGAGAATGATTGTGGGTTGCTTAAATGACTATAGGTTTCCTGGGTTTTCTAGTGGAGTCGCACATCTGATAGCATGTAGAAATTTTCATTAGTGATTTTCAGTGTTCTAAAACACGGCATATGCAGCCGCATACTCGGCCGCATATGCGGAATCTTCCGCTTGGAAATGGTGACGAAAACACATACTCGCCTGCAGAAAAGGATTATGAGGGCGAGTTTTAGTTAGGGTTAGAGTGGGTTTCGGGTTCAAAAATCTGAACCCATAAGTTTTTTAAACCCTTTTTTTTTAAACCCCAAACTCGACTAGGGTTTCTTCCCCCAAATTGTTAGCTCCCCCATCTCTCTCTCTCCCACTTGCGCCCCACCTCCTCTGTCTCCATCTCTCGAC